AAGCCCTCTGTCAAATGTGATTCATGTGTTACCGATCACATGATAACAGAGTAACTGCAGTCCTTGTCTGCCTCTTCCTTTTTGCACCGCATTGGCAGGAAGGAACACCTGGTCAGAAGCAGGTGGCTGGAAGAAAGGGGTTTTAATCTTTTCCAGTCCAACTCATCTTCCACGATAGTCACCTGCATACTGTGTAACAGGTGGCCAATGCATTGAAAATGCAAACCATCAGGCCTGAGATTTTGTGGGTGAGAAGGTTGCTGGATTATGCATTTCCCCGCTACGGACGTTTTGGCCCAGTATTTGGTTCTTATGCTTATGTCATTTGTGTTAATATAATACATCTGGATATAATAATACTCGGTATTTTTTGTTGTGTTTTTTTCTTGTTTTTTGTTCATTTGTTTGTTTGTTTGTTTGTTTTTGTTTGAGACAGAGTATTGCTCTGTCGCCCAGGCTGGAGTGCAGTGGCGTGATCTTGGCTCACTACAACCTCTGCCTCCTGGGTCCAAGTGATTTTCCTGCCTCAGTCTCCTGAGTAGCTGGGATTACAGGCACACACCACCACGCCCAGCTAAATTTTGTACTTTTAGTAGAGACAGGGTTTCATCGTGTTGGCCAGGCTGGTCTCCAACTCCTGACTTCAAGTGATCTGCCTGCTTCGGTCTCCCAAAGTGCTGGGATTACAGGTGTGAGCTACCACACCCAGCCTATGTGGTGCTTTTGGTAAGGGAGCAGATACAAACACGTTAGGTTTCATCACGTTTGTTAAGATATTTAAAATATACAACGGAAGAAAGAGTAGAACCCAACCACTAATAAACATGATCCCCGGCTTCTATAATCATGTGAAGTAGAACACTATGCATACATATGAAATTTAGGTACGCTCTTTTCTAAACTGATAATAACTACCATTTGTTAATATATTCTGGGCAGAATGTTAATGTTTTGCATGATCTCATTTAACCCTTACAACAGGTCTACGGTACATGGTGGTATTATGTCCATTTTATTGCTGGAGCAACCGATGCCTGCAAAGGTGAAGTCATTGCTCAAGGTCCACATGGCTGGTGGGTGAGGCAGGGTTTGGACCCAAATCTGTCTGGCATTGAAGCAGGGACTCTTTATCTGTGTTATATACAGCTGGTGAAGGCTTTGGACCTCTTCTCAGAATATGATTTTCAAATGCAAAAGATAAAATACATAGTACAAAGAAAAGCAATTATCTGTCACCCAGGCTGGCAGGCAGTGGTACGATCTCAGCTCACTGCCACCTCCACCTCCACCTCCCAGGTTCAAGCGATTCTTCTGCTTCAGCCTCCTGAGTAGCTGGGACTACAGGCACACGCCACCATGCCTGGCTAATTTTTGTATTTTTGGTAGGGAGGGGGTTTCTCCATGTTGTGCAGGCTGGTCTCAAACTCCTGGCCCCAAGTGATCCACCCGCCTCGGCCTCCCAAAGTGCTGGGATTACAGGCGTGAGCCATCACACCTGGCCTTGAAATACCGAAGTATAGTTTTCAACTGTGGTAGGCAGCCTCGAAGGTGGTCCCCACTCATGGCATTTATTCCTTCATGTTATCTCCTCCCTTTGAGTTGGGGCTGGACCCTAGTGACTCACTTCTGATGAACAGATGGGAGAAATGATGGGATGCCAATTCTGAGATGAGGTTCCAGAGATATTGTGGCTTCTTGAATGCTTTCTCTCGCTCTCTCTTGAGTTGCTCCCTCTGGAGGAAGCCAGCTGCCACGTCCTAAGGCAGCTGTAAGGTGGAGAGGTCCATGTGTCTAAGACCTGAGGCCTTCCAACAACCACGTGAGGGAGCTTGGAAGCAGATCCCCACTTTGTGCGGCCTTAGAGAACCGAGGCCCTGGCTGACACCTTGTTACAGCCATGTGACACAACTGGACCCAGCACCACGTGGCTAAGCTGCACTTGCCTTCCAAAACCACAGGTAATAAATGTTTGCTGTTTTTAATCACTTGTGTTGAAGTAATTTGCTATGCAGTGATAAATAATATGTCAACCTATTAAAATAAAATAAATTTGGGATATATATATATGGTCTTAGTGAGAAGGCATGTCTGAAATATAGGCAAATTAAAGTTAGATTTTGTATTTTAAGACATATTGGCACGAAGGCTTTGTTCCTTGGCTTGAATAAGAAGATTAGAAAGTGGGACGAACTTTATCAAGTGTAATAACCACATTCTCTGGTATCTGTATTTGATATTTTATTTTTTAAAATTAAACTTTTTATTTTGAGGTAATTGTAGATTCACATGCAGTTGGTAAGAAACAGTACCAAGAGATCCCATGTACAATTTGCTTAATTTTAATTCATTTTCATTCCAGTACTAATCAAGAGATTTCAGATCAAACTCTCCAGTACTGTTTTGAGAAACTACAACCCAGAATTGACAGTGCGGTTGCAGGGGAGGGCGGGGCTGTGGAGGAACAACGTGTTTTCGGTCTTCTCTCATTGTTTCTGGGAAATCACAACTAACATGCAATGTGTCTGTGGCACCGTCTCAGCTGGGGACTAATTAAGTCTCTCTGGCAACAGATGCTGTCCCCTCATTTATATTAATGATGTCTTCCTTTGTGTGCTGGACATGCCAGGGCAAAGGGGCCAGCTGGGGGAGAGACTCTCTACCGAAGTGGAACCAGCAGTTTCTACCTGTGTCCTGACTCCAAGTCAGAATATGAAAAAACACTGCACTCGCCCATTCCAGATCCTGCCTTTCTGGTCTCCAGACTCAGGGGAACTAACAAATGGAGGCAGCAAGCGATTCCTGACTTTCAGGTGTCCACGCTGACTCTGAATGGTCACTGGATTCCTGGATAGCACAAGCCCTCTGTCAAATGTGATTCCTGTGTTACCGATCACATGATAACAGAGTAACTGCAGTCCTTGTCTGCCCCTTCCTTTTTGCACCGCATTGGCAGGAAGGAACACCTGGTCAGAAGCAGGTGGCTGGAAGAAAGGGGTTTTAATCTTTTCCAGTCCAACTCATCTTCCACGATAGTCACCTGCATACTGTGTAACAGGTGGCCAATGCATTGAAAATGCAAACCATCAGGCCTGAGATTTTGTGGGTGAGAAGGTTGCTGGATTATGCATTTCCCTGCTACGGATGTTTTGGCCCCGTATTTGGTTCTTATGCTTATGTCATTTGTGTTAATATCTTAACAAATGTGATGAAACCTAACATGTTTGTATCTGCCCCTTACCAAAAGCACCACATAGGCTGGGTGTGGTAGCTCACACCTGTAATCCCAGCACTTTGGGAGACCGAAGCAGGCAGATCACTTGAAGTCAGGAGTTGGAGACCAGCCTGGCCAACACGATGAAACCCTGTCTCTACTAAAAGTACAAAATTTAGCTGGGCATGGTGGTGTGTGCCTGTAATCCCAGCTACTCAGGAGACTGAGGCAGGAAAATCACTTGGACCCAGGAGGCAGAGGTTGTAGTGAGCCAAGATCACGCCACTGCACTCCAGCCTGGGTGACAGAGCAATACTCTGTCTCAAACAAAAACAAACAAACAAACAAACAAACAAACAAAAAACAAGAAAAAAACACACAACAAAAAATACCGAGGATTATTATATCCAGATGTATTATATTAACACATGTCAACCTATTAAAATAAAATAAATTTGGGATATATATATATATGGTCTTAGTGAGAAGGCATGTCTGAAATATAGGCAAATTAAAGTTAGATTTTGTATTTTAAGACATATTGGCACGAAGGCTTTGTTCCTTGGCTTGAATAAGAAGATTAGAAAGTGGGACGAACTTTATCAAGTGTAATAACCACATTCTCTGGTATCTGTATTTGATATTTGACATCTGGGGCCTTGTGACCCTAGAGAGACTGCCATTCCCGGGGCTAGTCAAAACCTAGAGATAATAAATGACTCACCCACCTGGGAGCATGGGTTTCATATGCAAACCAGCTGGTCTTTTTTGTTTTTTTTTTTTTTTGAGGCAGGGTCTCACTCCGTTGCCTAGGCTGGAGTGCAGTAGAGTGATTTAAGTTCACTGCATGCCTGGCTAATTTCTGTATTTTTAGTAGAGACGGGGCGTTGCCATGTTGCCCAGGCTGGTCTTGAACTCCTGGAGCTCAACTGATCTGCCCACCCCAGCCTCCCAAAGTGCTGGATTACAGGTGTGCGCCACTGTGCCTGGTTTCAATCACCTCCTTTATTACTTTCTTACACTCTAGGCCACTGTCTGCCTGGCCTAATCACCCCAGGGCTTGGTACCTGGCCCCTGACAACTAGAGACAGTCCCTCCACCTTAGAGCCCACTGAAATTATTCAAGCCAGTCAATGCGAGGCCTACTTACCCTGCTGCTCACTCTCTTCCTTCTCAAGGAGACCACAAAAGGCTCTTGCCCATGTATTCCCCTGTCTCTGCCTCCTGACTGACCCCAGTGTTCTACATGTCACATCCCTCAGCCCCCATGGCATGGTGCATCCCCTTCTCTTGGGATCTGTGAATATAACCAACTGTCGTATCAATGGCAGTCATCTCATGATCTGTTGGTCTTGCCATACCTAAATAATATGAAAACCTACATTTTAAAACAACAACGCAATATGCATGTCATCTTAGGCATTGTCTATTTTATTTTTTGTTTTGATAATTACAAGTGTTAAAAATCTTGTTTTACAAAGATATTTTGTTGCAAATGAAATGACAGCTTTCATATCTCATTTTTCAAGGCTTCTCTCAAGGAAACACCAGAATTATCTAAGACTTTTAAAGTTCAACTCTAATTTTCTTTTTTTTGTTTTTGAGACGGAGTCTTGCTCTATCGCCCAGACTGGTGTGCCGTGGTATGATCTCGGCTCACTGCAACCTCCGCCTCCCGGGTTCAAGAAATTCTATCTCAGCCTCCTGAATACCTGGGATCACATGCCTGGCTAATTTTTGTATTTTTAATAGAGATGGGGTTTCACCATGTTGGCCTGGCTAGTCTCAAACCAATACAACTTACATTAAAAAGGATATGACTGTGAATTCATGGTTCAGTTTTGATGCCATTATGACAGAAATAGTTGCTGAAAGAGTTTTAAGTGTCTCCACATGTACTTAGCTTTCTCTTCTTAAATAAATGGACAGAGAACTTTGTAGACATGGAATTACAGAGAAACAATGTATGTCTTTGAATGAGCAATATAAAACACGGGAGAAATAGGCTGATAATTGCTCAATAGCATTGACTACAAGAAGACTGTGTACCTATCAGGGGTCAAAAAACTTCAATAATTTTGAAGCAGTAGTGAGTGAAATGATATTTCAAGGCATGTCTAACAGTCGAATTGGCTCTGAAAATATCTGTGATTTCTACTAGCGGAAAGTCATGGGTTTTGTTAAAGCTACTGGGGTTCCTTGCCTACACTCATAATTAAGCAAAATGCTAAATTTTATTTTAAGGTGAGTGAAAACAAAGATGTATTACTCCCCCATCCAAGGTTCTGGATCCAGTTTGGAAAACTGTTCTAGAGCTTAATTCTCAGCCACTGCCATACTCCCTTTTCCATGGTCAGGAACAAAAGTGGCCGTGAACTCTGAGCTTAGTTCTCATTGTTAGAAGTACCTAAGTATGGTAACCCCAAAGGTGATAGACCACAAGTCTATTCCCAACAAAGGACTACAATTAAGAGAAATGTAGATATGTTCCCAAAATTGTGGCTTTTCTAATGGTTTCAGTGCATGCCAGAGAGTGATCATGCCAGGATGGACCTGAGCTGTTGCCAGCAATGGGGGGATGCCTGGCAGTGGTGTCAGGACACGCATGGCCCAGAGACCCACTAAGACCAGTAGAAACCTTGAGCACTGAAGAGATGATTTCTCCCTTCTTCTCCAGGTATGTAATTACAAATTAAAACTACAGCAACTCATAAAATAAGTATAAGGTGGTCAGACAAAGTTCTAACTTTGCCTAGGCTGACAAATTTTATGCTTTGAGGGAATGTTTAATTATCTCACAAAAAATAATTTTTGGATCCTTCTGCTTTATTACTGGTGTTAAAAATTAAAATGGAGACCAGGCTTGAAGAATTCCTGAGCAAACAAAGCCAGTTAAGCCATGGAGGCAACGCTGACCATGCTTGATTTGAAAAGGTAAGTGAAACTTAGCTTGGGGTTATTTGTTTGGTAAATGTCTACATTAAAGTAAAATGAAACTTAAGTTCAGCCAATCAGAAGCCACCATCTAATTTATAGGTAACTAACTAGGAAATTTCCAGTAGGAAAGATCAAAGAAGACAACTGTGTAACTGTAACCAATCAAATATTTCCTTCGCTTTATGCTACAGTTTGAATGTGTTTCCCCAAGAACATTTGTAGGAAACTTAATCCCCAATGCAACGATGTCAAGAGGTGGAACGTCTGGGAGGTGATTAGACTAGGAGGGCTCCACCCTCATGAATGGATTAATGCTTGAGGTTGCAAGCTGGCTGGCTTGCCCTTCCACCCTCTGCCATGGGGTGATGCAGCAAGAAGGCCCTCGCCAGGTGCTGGCACCTTGATACTGGATTTTCTAGTTTCCAGAACTGTGAGAAATAAATTTCTTTACTTTATAAATTAATTACTCATTCTGTGGTATTCTGTGAAGCAACACAAAATTAAGACACTTTACCTTCATGTGTACCCTATAAAAGACTTCCTCTTGCATCCCCTTGGCAGAGCCCAAACCAGCTTTGATTTGGTGTTTCCTGATTCACAAATCACTGTTTGCTCAAATAAACTCTTTAAAAGTTTATTGTGCCTTAGTTTACCTTTAACACTGGTCAAATGCATACTTTGTCTGACTGTTGGATAATTCAGCACTGGTTAAAGTATTGTAAGTAAGGGAAATACATTTTCACCTTGGAGCCCAATTAAGCTCCCTTCCCAAAGGGGCAGATGACCCCAACGATGGCAGCTTGTTGTAACATGTGTTCCTGGATCAGCCATCTGTTGGGCTGCAAGGACAGGGAAGGTCGATAAAGGAAAAGCATACTTTACAGCAAGGTGTGATTCCTGGATAACAGAGACAACAGGCTGCCTGCATTGCCTAGTTGAGTATTGAAGGGAGAAAACTTTGTAAAACATCAACTAATAAATGATACTTAAGTCAAACATTGAACAAATTTCATTAAAAAAGACCAAGAACAATCTGCAAATAATAATAAGGACTAGGAACCAAGAAAGCTAGTGCATTTGACATGAGCCCAGAATAGCTTCACAAACATGCCCCTGAAAAGTGGCAAAGAGGGGTTTCTGCAGAATTGGAGTAGCTTACATGGGAGCAGGGGCGATTCCTTTAGATACTCTAGAAGTAAGGTTCCCACCAGTGCCTCAGGGAGAAAATACAGATACATACTCTAAAGCCAGCACTTCTCACACTTTCCTATGGCCATCCCCTTAAGGACAGAAAAGTAGAAAAGGACTTCTGGGAGGCTAGGGAAATAGTCCGAAGCAGCCTATTTTAAACTCCCTAAGCTCAAATTTTCTTTGAATTTGCATGCTTCATTTAAAAAATATGTGTGGATTTTACATTTCACTCCATTAATATATCTGCAATTGTCTCAGCATGAAAGTGTTTTTACGTTGTGTTAATATCACTACATAAAATCATTCCTGTAAGTTCTGATCTGTCCTGTGCACTTTGCCTAACTCAGCCTTTTACAGCATATCTCTGGGGATATATTTACCCACATTTGAGAAAAAACACCTTGAATTATGTATAATAAAATGAAGATATTAACATTTACAAAGTCTCAATAAATTCTTTTGCTATTTTTGTAAAGAAAACTAAAGAACTTTTCTAGGATTTATCTATATATCATCTATCTTTCTCTTTCCCAGTGGTGACAAAGAATCACTCCACAGATTGTTCACTAATTACAAACAGAAAAGAACTGTTACCATAGAGAGACCTGGGACTCACCATGTTAACCAAGTGCTCAAACAGCATCCTTGACACATAAGGGAGTATTCCAATCTTATGGGGAAAAAAGCAGGGGAACTAAAGAGATATAATAACCAAACGCAAATGTATGATGGGATACTACTCTGGAAAAACACACCTATAAAAGACATTTATGGGATTTGTGAAATTTGAATATAAACTGTAAATTAGAGGATATTATCAAATTACTATTAATTTTTAAATATAAAAATGGTATTGTTTATGTACGAGACTATCTGTATTTCTAGGATATTAATATATTAATATTTAAAAGTGAAGTGTCTTTTCTTTTTTCTTTTTTTTTGAGATGAATCTCACTGTCACTTGGGCTGGAGTTGAGTGGCGTGATCTTGGCTCACTGCAACTTCTGCCTCCTGGGTTCAAGTGATTCTCCTGCTTCAGCCTCCCAAGTAGCTGGGACTACAGGCGTGTGCCACTACGCCCAGCTAATTTTTGTATTTTTAGTAGAGACAAAGTTTCACCATGTTGGTTGGCCAGGATGGTCTTGATCTCTTGACCTTGTGATCTGCCCACCTCAGCCTCCCAAAGTGCTGGGATTATAGGCGTGAGCCACTGCGCCCGGCAAGTGTCATGATTTCTGCAAAGTACTTTCAAAAGGCTCAGCCAAATATAAACAGACAGACACATAGACACACACACACACACACACACACACACGCACACACACACAGAGAGACAGAGAGAGAGAGAGAGAGAGAGAGAGAAACAGAGAGAGAGAGAGAGAAAGAGAGAGACAGAGAGAGAAAGAGAAAGCAAATATGGTCAAATGTTAACAACCACTGAACCTGAGCAAAGGATATATGGGTCTCTATTGTATTTTCTTTCAGCTTTTATTAGAATAAAAAATTTCAAAGAAATAAATTTAATATGTAAAAGAGTTTTGTGATTCTACCAGGAAAGAAGGATATGGAAAATTCCGTCTAGCTCATGGTCTTCAGAGCTAGATAAAAGACATTATATTAAAGATTTGCAGAAATATGGACGCTGACCAAGCAGACTGGGTGGGGATGTGGTCCTCTGTAATGAGGCAAAAGTGAGAAGTAGAGATGTAGACTATGTGGACTCTAAGGGCTACAGGACCACCCCATGAGAGTCACTCGAAGGAGGGCTCGGTATGTTCCATCAAGGTCACCAGCAACATTCAGTCATCCAGAAGGCATTGCCTGGAAAGGCATCTCTCAAATTGTTGGGTTGGCACAACTGTCTCCCTGGTGAATGTTATGGGCTGAATTGTGTCTCCCCCTCCAAATTTATATGCTGGAGTCCAAACTCTGAGTATCTCAGAATGGGACTTTATTTGGAGATAGGGTCTTTATTTATTTTTTATTTATTTTTATTTATTTTGAGACAGAGTCTCACTCTGTTGACCAGGCTGGAGTGCGGTAGTGCAATCTTGGGTCACTGCAACCTCCGCCTCCCAGGTTCAAGTGATCCTCCCACCTCAGCCTCCCAAGTAGCTGGGACTACAGGTACCTGCCACCATGACTGGCTATTTTTGTGTTTTCAGTAGTAGATAGAGGGTTTTACTATGTTGGCCAGGCTGGTCTCGAACTTCTAACCTCAGGTGATCTGTCCACCTCAGCCTCCCAAAGTGCTGAAATTTCAGGTGTGAGCCATCATACCTGGCCTGGAGATAGGGCCTTTAAAGAGGTGACTGATTTAAAATTAGGCCATTAGGGTGGGCCCTAATCCAACCTGACTGGTGTCCTTATAATAAGAAGAAATTTGGGGTGGGGGTGGTGGTTCGTGTCTGTAATCCCAACACTTTGGAGGCTGAGGTAGGAGGATTGCTTGAGGGCAGGAGTTTGAGACCTGCCTGGGCAACATAGCAAGACCCCATCTCTATAAAAAATACAAAAATTATCTGGACATGGTTGTGTACACCTGAGGAACCTGAGTGGGAGGAATTGCTTGAGCCCTGGAGGTTGAGGCTGCAGTGAGCTATGATCGCACCACCGCACTCCAGCCTGGGCAGCAGAGCAAGGCCCCAACTCAAAAAAAAAGGAAAAAGAGGAAATTTGGACACAAAAATAGGCACTAGGGATGTACACACAAAGAAGAAAGACCACTTGGGAACACAGTGAGAAGGCTGGTCTCTGCAAGCCAAGAAGAGAGGCCTCGGAAGAAACCAAACCAGCTGACGCCTTGGACTTTCCAGCCTTCAGAACTACGAGAAAATAAATTTCTGTTGTTTAAGCCACTGAGTTTGTGGTATTTTGTTATAGCAGTTCTTGCAAACTAACATGGTGGGTAATCATATTTCAACCTTGCGAAGATTTAGATTTAGGAGTAGAAATGTTTAAGAGGATATTACCTATGGTATTAATATTTTTGTATTAATGCAGAACCTATACATTACTTACTGTAAGTAGTTGTAATGTTTAAGAGAATTTGGTCTGGTGAAACTAGAGATCAGTCTTGTGTTTCCTAAACACCAAAGGGAGTAAGTGACTTACATTCTAAGTCAGATTCTTACTAAGATCTCTTAAGAACTTAAAAATCACCATATTTATATGCTTGATCTACTAGATTTGTATGCATTATTTAGGTTCCCAGGAAAGTTTTGACATTAAATTGAATAATTATTGATATTAAGAAAATAAATTATGTTAAATTTATAAATGCACCTTAAGAGGTTTTAAGGAGTTTATCTAATAGCATTTGTTAATGGAACCAAACAATATTTAGGCCCTTCAAGTGGTTTGAAAATTTGCTATATTTGTGAAAGAACAACAAGAATTCTAAGTTGAACTTAAATTTTAAGGTAAACGAATTTTTTTTTTTGAGATGGAGTCTTGCTCTGTCACCCAGGCTGCAGTGCAGTGGGGTGATCTTGGCTCACTGCAACCTCCGCCTCCCAGGTTCAAGCGGTTCTTCTGCCTCAGCCTCCTGAGCAGCTGGGATTACAGGTGCATGCCATCACACCCAGCTAATTTTTGTATTCTTAGTAGAGATGGGGTTTCACTATGTTGGCCAGGCTGGTCTCGAACTCCTGACCTTGTGATCCGCCTGCCTCGGCCTCCCAAAGTGCTGGGATTATAGGCGTGAGCCACCACGCCTGAAGTTTTTAAGTTGTAAATTTAGTAAATTAAATATTAATTTTTAAAGCTAAGTAACCTCTGAATAACCTTTTTCTATGCCTAAAGCCAACCTCAAGGGTATCAAAAGACTCATCTACGTTTATATTTGAACTCTGTAACTTCTGAATAATGTGCAAAGCATGCCCTCTGGGATTCGAGGGACCAGGTGTAACGGGGTTAAGTTGAACTCAAAGGTTGAACATGTAGCCTTCTTGTTTTCTGTAACTACTCTCTTTTGTCCAGAAAGCCCCATTTCCTCCGATGGGGAGATAGGGTGATGAAGTGAAAGTAGATCACCAAACAGAAACTTTCCAAGCAAAGGTAGCCAGAGTCTACTTTGGGGTTAACCTAATCTCTTTTGGGGACATGCTCCGCTTTTTAGGCATTTTCTTCTCTCCCCTTCCGTTAGCCAAGATGGCCTCTGGGAGAGGGAAAGTTTACGCACTCACCTGGCATTGGCGGGGTTGTGACTGGTTCACAGTGGGCTTTTGTTTGGCCCAGTGGGCTCTTGTTGGGCTCTGGTTGCAGTGTTTTGTCTCACTGAAACCAGGGCGTTGGTCTCTGATGTCATTGCCTCTTCTTGACCTCCAGTGGCATTATTGCATTGACTCGGAGCTCTGCAGACTGACTAGGCCTTTTGAACTTTTCAGTTTTATCCAAAGCACACAGGAGGCCCCTACAAAAGAACACTTCCCAGGAAACCTTTGTCTCAGAAAATCTTTCCAAGCTCTGCCTCTGAACTACTCTCTCTGTCCTGTCCTCTACTCCAGACTTTTCCCTTGGGATTAACTTCTTGTCTCCTTGGACTAGGTCCTTTGTATGAGACAGAAAGCTGCCCTTGTGTGAGTGGGGGCTTAAGTATCTCTTTGGTTCCACCCTCTGATCCTGGGGCAGCCCTTCTCATTCTCAAGCAGAGTCCTGGATCCCAAGACCCTAGCCTGGACCTGTATCCCATCCCCATAATTTGAGTAGGTGAAGCAAATATGATCAAATCTGGCGAGGTATGGTGGCTTATGCCTGTAATCCCAGCACTTTGGGAGGCTGAGGTGGGAGAACTGCTTGAGCCCAGGAGTCTGAGACCAGCTAGGCAACATAGTGAGACCCTGTCTCTACAAACAAACAAACAACCCAATCTGTGAATGCCAAGATTGCTTAAGAATTCACACACAGTATTTGAAAAAGATGTAGTAAGAATTGTTAGGAACATAAAAGTTATAGGATACTAATTCCTTAAAAATAAAAATGCAAAATTTCTTCCTAATTAACTTTTTTCTAACACTTAGTTTTGAGATAATTGGAAGAAAGGTTTACATATAGATTAGCGTCAGTATTAGCCAAATAGTGCCTTTATAAAAATTACAGAGAGGCCTTTTTCTCTGGTGGTGGGGGGTGGCATACAATCCTAAGCAGGACTCACAGCGTGGCAAGGCAAGAGGAGCACAGACTGGATTTCAGTCCCTACTCACCCCTCAGGTGGTTGCTTTTTGGTAATAAACATCCTGCCCAATCATACGAAGTGGCCTGATAGAGATGATATTTTTTAACTACATGACCTTGGGCAAACATCTGTGTCCTTAGAACTTTAGATGCCTCATATAACAAGTGAGAGGGGCTGACTTCTTAGGTCCTTTTTCTCCACAAATACTATGCTCCATGGCATCAGTAATTTTTTTTTTTTTTTTAACTAAATGAGAGTCTTCACAGAAAGTGGAGGAAGGAAGCACCAAATGCTGGCCACAAGAAGGAACTAGTGTGAGAAGTAGAAGTGACAGAAACCCATGGGCAAAAGTGATCAGGTTATTCTAGAGTTCATGACAGGGAGAGTTGGCCATCATTAGAAATATATCTGAGACTTTGGTAAGACACATCTAAAAATTTTTCCTAAATAATAAGGTTCCCTGGACAGAGACTCCCAAAGGGAAGATGTCAAGTGTTTGGGAGAAGTGCTGCAAAATGAAATCTGTGTCTTTCAAACAGGATGATGTGGAACAGGAAAAAAAGGGGGAGAGTTATTTAAAGAGAGACACACTTGGCTAGGCGTACTGGTTCAGGGCACTTTGGGAGGCCGAGACAGGTGGATCACTTGAGGCCAGGAGTTCAAGACCAGCCTGGCCAATATGGTGA